TAGCGAATAATAGAGGGTGATTCAAACCCAATATATATTCCTAACCTTCTTTAGGGGGCCCATCTTACTGCGTTGTGGTGGTGTTACTGGCACATATACAGCACATCCAAAAATTCGTAAATGAGCAATATTTGGTTCATGACCAAAAACTAATTGTGACGGAGAATATTTATTATAATGTGTCGGTCTGAGACGGATAAGTGATGTTGCATGCAAGATAGCATGGCCCCAAACAGTAGTGGGCAATTTTGTTTTCATAAGTAGTGGTCTTGCTATCAATTGCAGGCGTTTAGTAAATGACTCTGCAAGGCCATTTTGAGTATGAACATAAGCTACAGGATGTTCAACTTTTATCCCAACTGATAGACAGTAATCATCAAAAGCTTGAGATAAGAATTCTCCAGCATTATCAAGGCGAATAGCCTTTATAGGATAATCTGGGAATTGTGCCCTTAATCGAATTATTTGGGCTAATAGCTTTGCAAACGCTAGGTTGCGAGATGATAGTAGGCACACATGAGACCATCTTGAAGATGCATCTATTAGGACCATAAAATATCTAAACAACCCACTTGGTAGGTGAATAGGTCCACATATATCCCCATGTATACGTTCTAAAAAGGCAGGGGATTCAATGCCAACCTTCATTGGTGATTGTCTAGTGATTATTTTGCCTTGATAACAAGCATCATAAGAAAATTCAGTATTTGTAAGAATCTTCAAGTTCTTTAATGGATACCCACTCGAATTTTCAGTAATTCGTCTCATCATTATTGATCCAGGATGGCCCAAACAGCCATGCCAAAGCACCAAAATATTTGAATCAGTAAACTTCTCGGTTACGATAGAGTGTGCTTCAACTGTACTAATCTTTGAATAGTATAAGCCAAAAGATAAAGTTGGTAACTTTTCTACAATGTACTTCTGGCTAGAAACATTCTTTGTAATACAAAGATATTCCATATTCATTTTATCAGTCGTCTCAATATGATACCCATTTCGGCGGATATCTATAAAACTCAACAAGTTTCTTCGGGACTTGGAGGAGAATAATGCATTGTCTATTATAAGTTTTGTTCCCTTAGACAGAAATATAATGGCTCTTCCAGAGCCTTCAATCAAACTTATATTACCAGAAATTGTTGAAACATTTACTTTTTTCTTATGCAAATAAGAAAAGTATTTTTGATCAATATGGCATGAATTGTTCCGCTATCAATTACACAAATATCTTCATGATTGGTCTTTGATCCAAACATAATTTGAGAATTATCCATATTCTCTGATACTTTTAAAGTATTTGCTCGAGATGGCAGAGTCTCGTGCTGATAACATGTTATAAAATAAGGACTGTAAAGTAAAGACAAGTATAGAGAGAAACTGATATATTATTCAAATTTCAATCTTCTGTACATAATGAATAAAAACTCCTCTATTTATAGAAGAAAGGAAGTTGTTGCGTAAGCTGCTACTGCAAGCTGCTGTGTAAGCTGCTTCTAAGCTGTTATTGCAAGCTGCTACTGTACCAGATATAGATAATCTTCTATCGGAGGTTATGTTTATCCATAACGGAGTACCAAAATGATAAGCTTCTTCAGGAGGCTTATTTCCAATAGAGTACTAAATAGATAAACATATTTACGGCGGACTCTCATATGGATAAACTTCTTCAGGAAGCTTATTTACAACGGAGTAAATGAACATCCATAATATAATATATTTATAACAATTTTTGGTTAATTTCACTCTACAATTAATTAAAAGTTTTTTTAACATAAAATAAAGAATAAGGAGAATCTTGAAAAAATCGCACATGCTCCAAGAACTTCACGGAATTAGGAGGCGCACAGGTGGGTATACCTGGAGAAATGCCTCAACAAAACAAGTTTTTATTTCCGATCTACTAACAAATTAAACTCTTATTTTGATAAGATTGTTAACCTTTTAGTGTAAGAGAGAAAAAAAAAAGAATTCATTTTTAATTTATTGTGTGTTGTCTTGTTTTTAACATTCATCTTTATTGGTCACTATTGACATTCACTTATTTAATTCTTTTTTGCTAAACAATGAGTCATTGTTATGAATTTAGCGGTCGTTTAGATTAGAAGCAAGTTATGTGGGATTAATAATATTGTATTATGGGAATCAGTAACGTATGACTTGTAATATAGGAATTAGTAATGCATCAATTGTAATGTAGGAATTTTTGTTATTGGAGGTTTGACTTGTTTTATTAAGAATCATTATACAGTATCTATTTCAAAATATGTTTTTTTTACTTTTTAACAAAATAAAATATTGATTACTATGATGAAGGGCTATTTTTGTCATTTAGTGGTTTTAATACATGTATTATTGATCCTCCCATTCTTATTTCACATTTTAGCCTTGTAAAATAATATTCTCTCCGTCCATTTTTACTTGTCCGGTATTCTAAAAATAGATTTTTATTTTTACTTGTCACTTTTAGCATATCAAGAGAAGAAGACAATTTTTTTTTCTGTTATACCCACAGTATTAATTACTCATTTCAAATCATTTTCTCAAATCCATTAACAATATGCATCAATTAATATGGGTATCATGGTAAATTATACACATCATTTATTATTTCTTAAAGGGTGTGCAAAGTCCATAGTGAACAACTAAAAGTGAACGGAGGGAGTACATAAATTTCTATATAACACTTATACGGGTATTAGTTATGCACAAAAGAAAATTAGACCCAAATATTATATGGAATAGTGCTAAATTTTATGTGAAAAGAATAAATGAAAACAAAGATTTTTCATAAGAAATTATCTATATAGAATAGGAGAAGCAAAAGCACTATATTAAGACAAGTGGTATAACCACAAAAAGCCAAGTGGCATTGTTAAGACAAAATAAACTACCTTTCTAACTAATTTCTTTTTTGGATTTTAAATTTTGAATTAATATATATATCTATAAAAAACGAATATATATATATATATATATATATATATAAAAAAAAAATAAACTACTCATTCAAATCTATCTATATAGAATAGGAGAAGCAAAAGATTATAATTTATCTATAAAAAAAAAATATAAAAAAATAAACTACTCATTCAAATTGGAGAGTAGTTTCAAGTTGGAGTTTTAAAACTATTTTACAATAAAAAACAAAAATAACAAAAAATAAAAAACTATCAATTCAATTTGGAGAGTAATTTCTTCCTAATATAGTAGTGTGTGTGTGTGTGTGTGTGTGTGTGTGTGTGTGTGTGTGTATATATATATACATATATAGTTAGATTTATTATGAGAAAAGTCGTACATATACACATAACTAAAGTCATAATAAATAAATAGTCATAAAGGAAGAATACTATATATACTACTTAAATTTCTCATGTAGGAAGATTTATTTAATAAATAGAACTCATAATTTCATAATAAAAAATATAAAAATATAAAAAAACTATTAGGATATTATACATAAGATAATATATTATATATAAAACATAAATTATTAATTATTAAAAATATTAGTAGGTTTTTTATAAAAATAATAAAAGGCTTATCTCTTTATACTTTTGATGAATTAAAAATTATAATTTAGGAAAAAATTATATTTATTTAAATTTTTAGTAAAATATAAAATGAGAAAACTAATCAAATATTATAGTAGAAAAAAATGTATGAAAAGAGAGGGATAAAGATAATTTTATAATATTTATATTTTTAATTAATAAATAAAATATAAATAAATAACACTCAATAAAATTATTGATAAATTTAGAAAATTGAAGAACTTTGAACAATATAACATAAGTATAAAAATAATATTTCCATAATAAGAAAATTTCAGTAAAATATAAAATGAGAATACTAATCAAATATTATATTAGAAAAGAATGTACGAAAAGAGATGGATAAAGATAATTTTATAATATTTATATTTTTAATTAATAAATAAATAACACTCATTAAAATTACTGATAAATTTAGAAAATTGAATAATTTTGAATATTATAACATAAGTATAAAAAAATATTTCCTTATGTTCTATTAAAACAGAAGTGATATAAAAATATTAAGCCAATTGACAAGTTAATAAAAAATCACATTAGTAAATGTATAGTACTAAGTACTTGCTAATTTAATAAAGAATAAACAAGGAATAAATAATTTATTTGATTACTATAGTGCTTTGTATCCTTTGATTTTGTATAGATTTTATTATATTTATGTACACTATATTAAATAATAAAATAATAACTAATATTTATTAAAATAATATGATATATTAGATCATAATTTTATAAGATTAATATTTTGTCAAATTATCCGCGGGTTCTAACACTAGTACAATATTGAATTTTATGCGGCGATTACTCTTCCCAACCATACGGCAATGTTTTATCCTAATGTTTGAAACTCCAATGGATCTTTGCGTAACCTATTTATGGTAAATTCTTAAAACTTCATACAAGGACGTAAGAAATATCGTGCATTTAATTTAATGTCGACTTTCCTGAAATTGAAAAGCCATTGGAACTCAAGGCAACCAACGTTTTCGTCTTGTAGAACATTGCACTGTATTCTACTATTACCTGTAAGCAGATGAGTTACCTAATTTTAAGTTGCGCTATATAGCGGTTTACCATAAGAACTGATAATGTGTTCCTTTCGTTTACAAGAGAACATTAAGGAATTTCGACCGATGATTTGGACCAACTCTTTTAGCTATCTAAATTTCCAACAGCATTCACTTCGACCAAGAAAATGAGTAAAGAATTCCAAAAAATGCGCTGAGATAACTCGAAGGGTGTATTAGATAATACTCCTAGCAATTAAAGCTTTTCTTCGACTAGGTTATTAAACTTGCCCAACTGTTAGTTTGAGGGCGTCTCATCAGTTTGCATTAACTTCCTTTTTGAGTATATTTTCCACGAAAATGAAACTAAACTTTAACACACAGTGTAAGTCGACTCTTCTTCACGTCTTTCTTCGTTTATTTTTCCACCAATAAGTAGCTAAAAGTCCACTAAATAGTATTGAAATAACAGAACAACAAACATTATCAGGAATACAGATCAAAGAGAAGAAATATGAAATATACCAAAGTAACACCTCGGTAAATAAACTCCATGAGAGACTGTAAATCTGAAAGCTTACAAATCTGTGATTATGAGTCGGTGAAATTCCACTACAAGGAAGAGCTCTAATCAAACCATTTGGAGACCTTCATCAACCAGCTGAACCTCGTTCACCAATAAATGGTCCACAACATCTAGCGTCAGAAATTATTTTCTACATCAGCAAATTGGGTCAACCCACCACGCGATATTGTTAGCAAACTGGTTAATACTCTCTTCCCTTAAACGGCATTTCCTGTCATGTATCAATAAAGCAACAGTCAGTTTGAGCCACTGTCCATTGGTTTTTTTACTCACTACCAGAGAGAGAGAGAGAGAGAGAGAGAGAGAGAGAGAGAGAGAGAGAGAGAGAGAGAGAGAGAGAGAGAGAGAGAGAGAGAGAGAGAGAGAGTTAAGGTTCCACTAGTTTGTTATATGACCTACTGAGACTTAATACAGAGAGAGATTATGCATGACAGGATGAATAAACATTGAGCTCTGGCTCTCGCTAGAAACAAGAAAGATTTCTCATACAATTAGAAAACTCAACTCTCAAGTACTCCGTCTAATTATGCACAAAAGGGGTTATTTGGCCAAATATAAGATTAAGCAATCAATTGTACAAGCACATTAATCAGAAATGAAGTATGATTGATGTAGGAAGCAGCCAACAGACCGGACCACAGCTTTGGGCTGTCATGTAAAAATAATCATTATTTTGGTGTTACCGGACAATTATGGTCTTTATCCAGCAAGCTTTCCCCACAACTTGAACTTATATCAATGCTGAAAATAATGGGAAGAATAGCGAAACTGGTAAAGATCAACAAAGATAAATGTAAAATGACAAAATATTTCTTACAGTGGGGTAATTCGGCATATAGACAACTTGCCGAGGGTGACCAATCATCATCTGCTGTCCATACTGCATCAAGAAGATTAGAATGTTGACACATTTTCAAACGCACTTCAAATATAATGGCAGAAGAATCAGTAAGCAGATACGATAATAACCCAAAAACTAACGAACCTGTGGTCCATTTGGATGAAAATACGGTTGTGGTACAGGAGTCGCCTGAGGATTAAATATAACAGGCTGATGTGCAGAAAATGATGCACCAACCTGCAACGCATACATGATTAGCAAACTTTCAGTAATGCATTAAAATGTGGAACGGGGAAAACAAGTAATAGCATATCTTTAGTTGAAACACCCAAAAGTACGGGAAAAAATATTTCACAAAAATGTGACAGCAGTTTCAAAAGATTTGTGAACTTCACCGGCTATCTTCTAACAATATGAAAATAGTAGAGCAGTTACAAGCAATTTCAGCTTCTTAAAATTACTCCATAAGTTGTAGTTCAAAGAGAAAGAGGAGCATAAGACCATGAAGATTAAACTTCTATAGCATTGCATCTCTTATTACCACAGGAACAATAGGAGTACTTTGGAGGAAAATGGAAAAGAATATAGTAACGACACATACAGAACAAGTTCCCTGCTTATTTGTTTCTTTAAACTATAGGCAGATCATACGGCAAACCGAGCTTAACAGTAATACCAGAAAATAGAGGATGACACAAAATCAAAAGCATGAATATTCTCGAAGAACACACAGCACCAGTTATAAACGACAAGAGAAGTACAATATTTTACCAGAATTGACTACAAGAGCAAATGGAGTTCCAGTTACACCATGAAGATGAGAACAAAGGGTAAACAATCACAGAAGTGTTATTTTACGAATGACAAAGAATCCTTAATTTACTCCACTCATGTAAATGACCATTCTTAGGAAAATTCACTTGCAGATTTTACATAATAGGTTACTAGACCAACAACAACAACAACAACAAGCCCAGTGAAATCCCACAAGTGGGGTCTGGGTAGGGTAGTGTGTACGCAGACCTTACTCCTACCTTATGAAGGTAGAGAGGCTGTTTCCGAAAGACCCTCGGCTCAAAAACAGTAAAAATGAAGCAATAGAGAAACAATAGCAACAAGGTAATAAGACAATGGAAGCAAATAATACCAGTAATACCAGAGATCCAGGGAATAATAGGTTACTAGACCAAATATATAATATTTCCACCAGCATAAGCCAAATAACCGAGTCAAACTAGCGCTGATGAACAGTACATAAGTACATATCTAGACATAACATGGTAATACAGACTCTACAGAGTCGACCATGCTTTAACTTGCAAAGGCATACCAGATAAGATTCATACAAAAATTTTGCGTCTCAACAAATTTGGCATTATATTAACACTTGACAGTAAACTATACAAGCATCACTTACTCCAATGCCAACAGGCATGCCATGCATGTGCGGGACAGTCGTCACACCAGCTGGATAGTAGAAGGAATTATCAGACACCGGCGAAGCAGGTCTCAAAGGTGATTGAGATGGGGTGAAACTCTTTGCATTAGGATTTAGTTTAAATTCCTGACAAAATATACAACAGAAGCAGAATAGATAAACGTGTAGATGTTTAGCTAAAGGAAGGGACAAAAATTAAACAGCATAACTCCAATTGAACTATGGAAATTATTGCATGATGATAGTTGTTGTCATTTTGTTGAACAAAGAACAACAACAACAGCATACCCAGTAATATCCCACACTGTGGGGTCTGGGTAGGGTAGTGTGTACGCAGACCTTACCCCTACCTTGTGAGGAAAGAAATATTAAGAAAATGTCCTTACCTTAGCATGTGGATTCAATGTGGATTTTTCTAACGAAAATGAATTTATAGAAGAGGTTCGTGATAATCCATTGTCAGCTGACGTTGAGGCAGCACCTGTTTCATCAGAAGTGGATAGAGCAGAACTACTAGGTCGCACACGAGAATTAGCAGATTGTGCAGTCCCCTGAATCTTGGAAGACACCACACCCTCCAACTTCTCTCTAGAAGAACTTGGGATCTTATCCTGGCGCTCTGGATGAACACACGATGCGGAGATGTCTGAAGACAATCTACCCCTATCAGAGGTATCCATCTTTATTCTTGAAGAAGACTTTGAATCTGCACGAGTTAACCTAACATCAACAAGAATGGAAGTTGGGAAACAGACATTTTGACATAGCTGAATTTGCACTGTCAAAGGCACAAGCAACTGTTCTTGCACAAGCATGAGAGATCTTGTTCCTCAGTCACAAATTCAATCTCAATTTTCAAGACTAGAGAGTTGTGAGGCAAAACCTAATCAACCTAAAATTTTACCATTAACAGGGATCTCTGAGGGACCCTATATCATTTGATTGCACGAACACCAATATACGTGAATGTTACCAAAGTTAAACCTAGATTGTATCTTTGGGCGTGCTTTGATGCTCAATTAGCATTTCATCTACGTGGAAGATCAGATCTGTGAAAAGGCTACCTAGAACCATGCTTCATAGGAAACAGACAGAACATAGACACAGCTATTTTGTTCTAAGTGAAGCATCAAGGCACATCCTCAACAGTCTTAGGGCAGATACAGTTCGTTCTTCAAGATAACAACTATTATCCTACTAAGTTTTAAGAACAAAAATGACCAGGGAATGCTATTTCCAGTGTTATCAAAGGCGAAAAGCGCAAAAAAACTCTAAGGTCTGTTGGGGCTTTAAGCGCGAAGCGCAAATAAAGCGTGGGCTTTAATGAAGAAAGGCACAAACAGAGAAAAACTACAAATATGTATGTGTAGTACATGACTAATATCTATAAGCATGAATACCAAATATATGGACAAAGAAATTGAAGAAAATTTACGATAAAGTGAAATATTAATTGTTTAGTGTCGCCTCTTCAATATTACGCTCGTTAGCAAGGAAAAGTATGCCTTAGAGCCTTGATGACAACACGGAAGCGCCCGTTAAGCTAGGCGTAGCGCTCGACATGTTTTGACCCTCGCTTTAGGGCTTAAGCGCGCTTTTGATAACACTGGCTATTTCGAGCAAGAAACTGAAGAGATTAATTAGCAAGCTACAATAATGAACACAAATTTGGAATAGAACTTAGCACAAAATCAGATCTGCCAATGTTTACTCAATACAAAATAACAAAAAGCTAATTCGGTGTTACCACTTTTACATTTTCCATTAAAAAGCACATTAATAGGATAACCTAATTATTCTTGGTCAACTGCATAGAGAGAGCAATAGATCAAGTTCGATGAAGCAATTTAACCATCAGCAC